GAACAAGGGTTTGGAAGTGCCATTTTATATTTCCAGCTGGGACAAGGGGCAGCAGGGAGGTGCACCAGGTAGGTAAGGGGAGGGTGCAACCACTGCTGAAAGACTGGAGTGTGCCACCATGGGGCAGCCCTTCCATCTCACTTTCCCTGTGGCAGGCATGGATGAGGAGCTCAAAACTAGAAATAAAGCATGCCAAGTGAAGATTTCAAAACAGCAGAGTCAAATGAAATCAGAGATGAACTGGGAAAACAACAACTGAAGATTCCAGAACAGCAGAGTCAAATGAAATCAGAGATGAACTGGGAAAACAACCAGTAATCTCAGAGATTGTCTTTAAAAGCTGATTTGATAAAGCAAGTACAATAAGAGAAGGTGCAGTGAGGTTGGGTTTGCATGGTTGCGGGAAGACAATAAACCTGGCAGAGTCCAAGGTGCTGGAACAAGAAAATCCTATGAGTGAATGCGCTGAAGAACAGGTGGAAAACCCAAAAGTTAGATGGATATACAGAGTGTCTGCTTATCATGATACAGGAAATATTCTTAAACAACTTGATGAAGAACTGAAAGGAGGGATTCCTGGAGATTCCTTCCTTGGTGGAGTTGCCAGTGTGCCAATTCATAGCATTCCGAAACTTTGGAGATGGAAGTAAAACTGAAATTTGACCTTGACCTTGCAATAATATCTGTTGCAATAATAACTGTTGAGGGAGTAAAGACACCAACCAAATAAATTGACAGGTTTGCCGTGATAATAAAAGCAAACAAGTCAGGCATTTGAATACATTCAGAAGAACTTCTCAAAGCCAGAAAATGTGAGCGCTACTTCCTGGGAACTGATGGTCACATCTGGACTTCAAAAAGCAAAGACATAAGTTTGGTGCAAGTAAATACATTTTGGCCAAAACATGACATATTAAATGCCCTGCATGCATTTCCTCAGGTAGATGTTTAACTGAATTTCTTTTAGACTGCTACTAGTCTACTTCATGAGCATGAAAGCATCAAGTTTGCCACAGGACACTGACATTTGGAAGAAGTGTTGCAGATGCTTCTAAGGTTCCAAGCATTATTATAAAATTAAAAAAATTACTGGACTTCATGCCCAATATGGAGCTTTCACTGATGCACAGATTTTCAGTAATTTGCATGTAGAGAAAATGCAAGAAGCTGCAAGAGGATGTGCTTGGAGTCATGTGTAATTTGAGTATGACCCACTTCTGTAATAGAATTAAACTGTCTCAACTAAGATGCATAAAATGAACTAGTCTTAGTGAAACTGTAAAGCACAGTACTAAATGCAGAAACTCACAAAAAGAGAAACTCTCACACCTTGCACGATAAAATCATACTGACAATATTGAAATGAAACTACAACAGACAGTGCAACTCTGTGTATGGGAGGCTATGCAACACTACCATCATTCGAAATGAGGTCAGAAATACTAAACATAATTTGCAGTATCCATCTGGCTCTGTGCAAGACGAGGAACTGAAAAAAATTCCTACTGTGGTCAGGCAAATGCTGTCATTAAAGATAAGGAACCCAAGTACAAATTCTATAATAAATACAGAAAAACATGCAACAAAACTTTGGAAACCATAAGAGACCTGTGATTCCTGTTGATACAGATACATTTGGACTAAACAGAAAAGATGAATTGTTAATAATTTTAAACTTGTTACAAAACATGCTGAATAACACTGTAAAGCACACTCTAAATCACAGTTTACATGTCCTGGATTCCAGATGAGCTAATACCAGATAACGGACTGCATTTCACAAATTACTTATTTCAGCAATTTGCTTGAGAAATTAGATCAAGCACACTAAAGCAAGTCCTTATTAGGCACTGCCACATGGGCTAGCAAGAGGACTGGTCAGTAAATATAACAAAGAATCAGAGGTCCAAGGAAACCACATCTGGTCCTGTTAGATTATCACAGCATTCTTCTCAGTTCAAGGAATTATGGGCAATAAGGGACAAACCCCATAGATATGGTAAGCTGGAAATATTAAAGCACTACAGAAGAGCTATTTGTCTAGAAATTAAAATGGACTAAATGCTACAAGCACAGCCAAGACAAGCGGCGTTGCAAATGGAAGGGAAAGTTAGATTTCAGGCTGATTATATAGCTCCCAGTTTAACACAGCCTCCTCTCTTCTGCAATGAGGTCAGATGCCATAAGCCTCCAAAAGCATTTTTTCCATAATTGGATCAGAGAAAAAGTTAGGCAAAAACTAAGAGGCATGCTGGCTCCATGCATTTTGAGGACCCAGAGGGTGATACGTTGACAGCATTTACATCATGATGGAAGAAACAGCTTTGTATCCAAACAATGTCCAGCAATAAAAACGTTCAAATTAAAAGATTTAGGAATGACTATGCAACATGACACAGTCTGAAAACATTGATAGCTACTGACTTTTAGATTAGATGGCTCCAGCGTATTCTATTAACTGACTGCTTCAGTTTGTAGATGTTACTTCACGCACATTTGCTGTTAAATAAAAAAATCAGGAAAGGTATAGCAATTGCTACTGACTTGTGCAAAACAAGGAAGAGAGTAACCTTTTGTAACCGTGATCCTGTAACTTATCTACACTGGAAGAGAAAACAAGTTTTATCTCCTCCCAACACATCTTTGCTAAAAATATCACACATCTTGGCAGAATTTGGCAAATAAAATAATCTGGTGCCTCTCATTACAATTAACTTCAATTAATTACAATTAATATCTACTGGATATTGTTATTATTTTGTCTATGCAGTCAAAGAGCATGCTATTATCAGATAACGTATCCCTGCTTAGGTACTTCCATGCTGCATTCAAGTCAGTTGTAAACCTTCTGTTAAACAGTTTCAAGCAACTGGCTTTTTGTGGCGTGCTGTGTTTTTCTTGGTTTTCAGACCTTGTGCCATTCTTGTAGCTCTTCTGAAAACCTCTCTCAATTTTTCCACGTCCTTCTTTAGTACGGACACCAAATTAGGATGTCCAGAAATAGTTTTGCTTTGCTCAGAGATAACGCCACTTCATGCTCTTACTGTACATGACCACCAAAACGGGCACAATTAGCAGCTGCAGTGCCCTGAGAGCTCCTGTGCAGCTGGATAATCCCAGCAGCCGTGATCCCAGAGACCTTTTCAGAGCCGCTGCTTTCTGAGAGGCAGCCCCTTGTTCTGCAAGGATGACTGACACTTTTTGTTCCCAGTTGCATGACCTTGGATCTGTCTCCAGCGAAACATGTATTGTGTGAGCATACCAAAAGATGGCTTTGTAAGCTATGAGTGGCCCATCCTGTTATGCGTGGTTACAGTGAGTCTTGTTTCACCTGAAAACTTGTATCAGCCATCTTTCAAATCACTGACAAACAAGTAACATTAAGCCAGTAAGTAATCTTCGCAGATTCACTAGAAACTCTTCCATATAAATAGTGATAATTTCCTATCAGTAAACAACACTTAGTTCCTAATAAATTTAAGTTTTCTGTATTTATTTAGTATTGTTCTAGTTCTTTAATCTGAATGTTGTAAGTCAAATGACACACAGACATCAGAGCACATGAGAGGAAAATAGTGCCCTGTGCTTAAGTGCATGAGAAATACCAAGCTAATTTGGTAGACCTGTTGCCCATAAAGTCACACACAACAAACCATTTACAGACATCCACACACAGACCAGTGTGTGCTTGCACAAGGTACCAGCAGACTTCAAATGTGTTTGTGGGCATCAAGACAGCTAACATCTATGTCACCAGCACCAACAGTACTGGAACATAAACACTGGATACCTGGATCCAACACTGGATACCTGAGCACTTAACTTCTCTGGGACTACAGCAGCTGTCTTGTATTTCACACACTTAGCTGTGTCATACCACAGTACAGATGAACAAGCAACCAAATGCATTGAAGTGATGATCTGCCTGGGATACCAAAAACCCGGCCAAACAAAAACCACCAGGAGAGAAAAGAAGAAACAAGAGAGGTAGTGCTGTTTCCTTGAGATGTTCACCCAGTGCCGTGTTTGGGACATGATTCTCACACCCTTCAAGTAATTGTGTGCCGTGAAACCTGCTAATGACAGAAAGTTGGATGGCATCTGTGCTAAGAAAGGCTGGAACATTTCACAGGAAATGTTGGATAACCTTGAGAACTGGTGTAGTAGAAATGGGAAGTAGCTTAGAAGCACAGAGTGCTAGGGCATGTACCTGGGAAGTAATAAATAGAACCTCTGCTGTAAACTGGGAGATAATAATCAGGAAATTACAGAGGAGAAAGGCCTAGATGTATTATCCAACTGAAGGGTTTCCAGTGTGAGGTAGCATGAAAAAGGCAAATACAACCACAAACTATTTCAGGCAAGGGATTCCCAGCAAAGAAGGAGAACCATCACATCACTTATACAAGGCATTGCTCAGATCTTGTTTGAGAATGGTTGGTAACTGGTCTTACAGAGAAAAGTCTAAAAGGAAAAGCATATATAGAGTAGGAAAAGGAAAGCTGAGGACATTATTGTTCTTCATAGGTACATCAGAGAAGGAAAATAGACACATAAACTAAAGATTACATTTTACTCAAAAACAACTCATGAGGAATAAATGTAAGTTAAAACTTTGAGCACAGTTTTGAGTTATTAGAGTGTCCCACTATGAAATAAGGTAGTGATGGGAATAACATCTGCATAATCTTCAGATTTTTGTTACTAAGGTTATTAAACTTATTAAGGGTGACAGTTTTACTTCTAGCAATAGAGCCTGGACTAAACAACTCAGAAGTCCATTTCCACTCCTGTGACTTACGACCACTGCTTTGTGATAGAAGTAACATGTAACTACAGTTGGGTTACCCTTGGCGTACATCAGAATGAAAACAGGTCCAGATGACCTAAAACAACGCTGAAAACATGTTTCCAGTGACTTAGGAAAGGAAGGACATGTGGAAAGAGGGAACATGAAAACAACAAGGAAAAGACATTTCTTCAAACATCAACATCCTTACCTCCCATGAGGAAGAGAAGCCCCGCCACATACTGCATAAGGCCTCGATCCCAACAGCACCCCAGCACCCCGATAATCCACCCAAAGAGGATGATGGCCACAGCCATGCCCATGAAGCCAGCTGTCATCCTGCGCAGATCTGCAGTAGGGAAGACAGAAAAACAACATCTGTGTGAACAGTGATAAATTAGCACCATCAGAGGTTCATAATGCTTTTAATCCAGAATCCTGCTGACCTGCAGGGTCTTCAGTGTGTGTTGGCATGGGATGACTTGAGTAAGAATGGTTCCGAGGGAGGACAATCCACAAATTAAGATATCAGCTTGGAGAGAGAGAGCAGGTGACCATTTTATGAGAACATTTTTCCCTGCTCCAGGGATCAGGGCAAGGGGGCTGGAGTAAAGCATTTTGTGCTCTGTGAGTGAGGACTGAGTACCACATCTGATATGGTTGCATGGGGTTGATTTGCATTTATTTCATAAATAAAGGAGGAAGATCCACAAGACCTAATGTAAGGAATCCTTAAATTATCTCATATTTGCCTCCTGCAAAAAGGATGGGACTACTGGGATCCCTACTCCTGCATCTGCTGGGGGAAAAAAAAGTCTTCACAGCTATTTTTGATGTGAAATCTGGGCAGGGAGACCACCTGGCAACTGAAATAGCAATGACTAGGAGAGGTAAAGAGCATCTTTACACCCTCAAATAAGGGAACAGATGGGGGTACCTTCACTAACATTTGATTGTTCCCTGTCCCCCCTTCATGCACACACAGAAAGTTTAAGCACTGATATGTCAGGAGTATATGTGCAGGAAAAGTTCCAGCCAAGTCAGCTCTCCAAACATTTGTTTCCTTCTTGAAACATTTTTTTTCCTGCATAGAAATGATTTCACTTTCTTTGAAGAAATAGAATGCTTATGACAGGGAGAGGAAGATTTGAAAATTGTGAATCATCCACCAGTCTCTGTGGCAGCTTTTCTTCTTGGCTAGCCTTTTACTGTTTCTCAATTTCTGGGTTTTTTTGCCCTTTTCTCACAGTGGATCAAAAGGACCACCAATACCAGCTGTGCACATTCAGTCAAATTTGTGAACAGTGATAAATTAGCATAATCAGGGATTTACAAAACTCCTTATCCCAAATGTTTATAAACAGGAGATTTATAAAACTCCTTATCCTGAGGTCTATAAGTGTGTTGGGGCAGAATGATTTGACGCAGTGGGATGCAGGTTACTCAGAGCTGTGTTCATTATAGCAATACTTATGCAAGATCGAGTTATAGAACGCAACTTCTCCACTGAAATTATAACTTCTTCCTGTAGATTGTCCCTGGTTTTTGCACAGAGTCCTTCCAACAACATAAAGATTACCAGACCTTCAGCCCACCAGTGACCAGAGCCCTTTTAACAAGATACACATCTTAAAATTTGTATTTTTATCATAGGTTTTGTGACTGTCCCACCAAAAAAACCCAACCAAAAACTCCCCAGAAAGCATGTGAATATGTTCAAGGAAATCTGGTACAGAAAAACAAAAATGCACTTCTTGCAGACACTGGTACCTCCCACAGGCAACGCTAGTCTCTGTTCCTTGGGAATTTCTCAGAGTGCTTTCTAAAACAAGCAGTAAATGTTAGTAGCCATCTTTGATGGCAGAGTGTCTTCCTCCTTTTCAGTTCGTGAAGTCCTGGGCTCAGTTTGAAAGATAGATAAAACCATAAAACGCTTAGTGTATCTTATGTCATCTTCAATAACAGCACAACACGTCTCTCAGAAGTGCTGCACAGCTGCCTGTGTCAGCTCTACAAAACCATTTTAACTTGCGACTGCTGACTCTGGGTAACAGTACATGCTTGTCCTAATGGAAACATTCCCTAACAACCTGCTTTTAATGAGCTGAATTTAAATAGCTTTATTCAGCTGCAAGATGTCAGTAACTCCTCAGACTTACCCCAGTGACTAGCTGATGGAGCCAGTTTTCATAGATCCCAGTGGTGATCTCGAATGTCCCCACATCCTATATACTAAATTAAGGTATGTTTTTTACCCCACTAAAATCAGCTTGAGTTTTGTTATTGAACAGAAGAGTTAAAGGAGCAAGACCAAGATTTCCAGGCCAAATTTTGAGGTTTGTTTCACTTGACCTCTCTTCTTGATGGAACCTGAATTTCCTTTTCTAACACAGCAAAATCCAGCATTATCCTGACTCTGGACTTAGGTTATCTCCCTCCAAAAAAGCAGAAAGCTAATCTTTGGCAGATAATACCATGTATAGAAAAATTCAAAATCGAAATTCTTTATGAAATCTTAGTTCTTACAGGTTCACTGGGCTTAGTTTCAGATTGCCACTGCTTAGGCTAGTTGCAAATCTGCTCCTCACGAGCGCATCCATTAGGGCTTATCTGAAATAAATGAAATATAAACTTTCTTCTCTATTCAAAGCCAAATTGTCTTTTGTCCTGGCACAGCCTTCCTTGAGGGCAGCCCTTGCAAACGGCAGTGCAAAGATGGTTTCATAAACAGCCTGTGCTTGTCCAACAGCATCTTCCCAGTGCTCCTCACCTGTCAGAGCCCACATAAAGCTGAGGTCAAGGCTGGGAACAAGTCTATTCAAAGTGATTCTTCTGTAGGAAAGTACTTAATGTATGTAACGGAATCATTACCCTTAGGCTATTTAGTGAGAAGGCGGCCAGGGAAAAGGAGCCTATGTTCTCTAGAGACAAAGCTCTATTAGCGGTACTTTTTACGATTAGTGTTCCATTGGTGTGCTACTCAACATGGAAAGGACAGCAGAAAAGCAGAGATCTACATTGTGTACTCGAGGCAATATATAAATTCCTTCTGCTAATTTAGGAGCAATGGATGACATAAATAAACAATAGCTCATCAGTACAAATTGATGGGGTTTTGTCTGAGTTTGATTGGCACTAATAAGACGTTGCCTGAATATATCCTACAAAGGTAAAAAGGGTCACGCTTTCTCATGTAATACCACTTTGTGACACTTGAGCACATCTTGGGTTTTCGTGTTTTTTTTCTTCATTCTTCTGAAATTGCTTTTATTTATTTTTAGACTATGAGATTAATG